ATTGGAAAGGTTGGAGGATGTCCCCATGTGTTCAGGGCCCTTCACCATATGGTCAACTAGGTCTGCAGAGTAATGACCTTGCTGCATCAGCTCCATTCTGGCCTCTGTCTTGTGATAGTTCTTTGTAGATTTGCTTTCTCCTCTCTCATGATTTATTTGTTCTCTCAACTGCTAGCTCAATTCTCCTTTTAATTCTTAGTTTATTGAAGAGGTTCACATTTAGCTTAGAACATTAAAACCTTTAAAGACATTTTCATCTTAAACTCATCAAATCTAATCATCTCTCTTCAGGAGTGCCCATCTCCATTTGTTTTCTCCTTTCCTTTGGGGTATGGCCCTCGTTTCTACCTGAGTCCAGCTCTTACTTTCACGTGCATGAGTCAAATCATCACACAACCAGAAACATCTTGTAGGAATGTACCCTACCATCCATCTCCCCAGCTTTCATGTGCACAGTGGCTGTGCCTTCAGCTGTGATACGTGATTAGGAATTTCCATTTAAAAAGTGTCTTTCATTATTCTTCAAAATGAAGTTCTTGGACCTTAAATACCTTCAAGATTCAATATTCTTCTCTGTTCCTTTGTTGTTAATATTATTCCATTAAAATTCATTGGGAACATCAGTGACGTAGAAGTGACCTGCCTACCCATCGCATCATCTGACTTCTGCCTAACTGACCACCCAGGAGCTTGTAGTTGATGGGGCCATCTGGACCTTTATCAATAAAAGGTTTGCAATTTATTAGGGAACGACTGAGATCAGCAGGTGCCTGAGCTCCTAAGAACACAGATGTGGTCCTGCAGTAGAGTCTGTGTTATTGAAATCACATCTGTGTATAATTCATGGCCTCAGCCAAGAAGCTGCTGCCAGCTTCTGGCCATTCCTGGGTAGCCCAATGGAGGTTGTCCACAGAAGGATGGATGCAGGATATGGATATTAGAAAGTGATGTGGTGTTGGGGGCATTGACAGCCAAATTTCATTGAAAGTCTCTTCTGCCCTTGGTACTTAGGGATGTCTGGGAAGAAGGGAATAAAACTGAGACCCCATGTATCTCCTCATTAAGTTAGAGATTCAGTGCAATTTTAGAAAGTTGAAGAAATAAACTATACTTTCAGGGATCATGTCTATAGTTCATTTGAGGAAGCTGAAGAAAAACAGTGATGTGGGTGATGTTGGTGTGGTTTTCTGTGACATACTTATGAAACAGCAGAAGATGGTCAGTGGCCAGTCTCCATCCAGCTGGTACTCACTGTCCATTTGTTATTTCCAAACAAAAGATAAAAGACATCTTGTGTGTTACAGACACCAGGGATTGTTTCAGAGACCTTGATCAAAAATGGCCAACAGGGCCATGACACAATTTTATATGAGAGCTACTATTTTTGCCGACTTCATGTGGAAATCTGAGAGCTGTGCCCAGCCTCAGGGGGCTGCTTCTCCTTCCAGGAGACAGAGCTAACAGAGTTATTTGGGATTAGTCTGTGTGGGTCTTCATAAGAAGACAACAGTTGTGGGTGGTTTAAAGAACAGACACTGATTTTTATCACAATTCTGCAGTCTGAATGTTGAAGATCAAGGTGCTGTCAGGGTTGGTTCTTGGTGAGGCTTCGTCCTGGCTGCACAGGGCCACCTTCTAGTGCACTACGTCTCTACATGGCTCTTCTCTGCGTGCACGTGAAAAATGAGAGGTCTATGGTGTTATTTCATCTTCTTACAAAGACAACAGGTCTATTGCATTAGGTTCTCACACTTATGACCAAATTTAATCTTAATTATATCCTTACGATTCTGTTCTCCAATATAGATCCATTGGATTTAAGGTTTCAGCATATGAATTTCAAAGAGGGCACAATTCGATTGATGACACAAATCAAGAGATGCTGGGAAGAATTAGCATTTTTTAAAATCAGTAAGGTTTGTAATGGGTCATGCAGTAACATGTAAGAAAGTTCCTAGTAATTGTTGAAACTTCAACTGTAAGAGAAAAATGTCTTCCTCCTTTCTTTGCTGGCACAAGGATGTGAGGAAGCAGAACCACAGATAATAAAGAAAGGAGCCCTGGACACAGCTCCAGTGCTGGCGGGGAGGGAGCCCACTGAGCAGATGAGGAAGCCCCGCTCTCCCTGCAGGTGCTCCAGACCTGGCCTCGGGCTCTGTGGGCGCTGCGCACCCCCTGCTGGTCCTGAGCAGCACCTGTGCCCACCCCGCCGCCTCCCTGCAGGGAGGTTTGTGTCTGGGCTCACACTTACCTCCCCTCACTGTGTCTCGCACAGTAATACACGGCCGTGTCCGCCGCGGTCACAGAGTTCAGCCTCAGGGAGAACTGGTTCTTGGACGGGTCTGCTGATATGGTGACTCGACTCTTGAGGGACGGGTTGTAGTAGGTGCCCCCACTATAATAGATTCTCCCAATCCACTCCAGCCCCTTCCCTGGAGGCTGGCGGATCCAGTTCCACCAGTAACCACTACTGATGGAGTAACCATAGACAGCGCAGGTGAGGGACAGGGTCTCCGAAGGCTTCACCAGTCCTGGGCCCCACTGCTGCAGCTGCACCTGGGACAGGACCCCTGTGAACAGAGAGACACACGGTGAGCCCTGGGCTCAGAGGCAGCCCCCGTAAATTCATATCTGCACCCCTGAGACACTCACGTCTGGGAGCTGCCACAAGGAGGAGGAAAAACCACAGGTGTTTCATGCTCTTGCATGTGAGGTCCATGACTCTCAGAAAGCCTTTCCCATGTGAGCAGGACGCTGAATTTAAGGAAACGTGTGGTGGTTTCCTGTGGGTGCCTAAGTGAGGATTTGCATGTGGGTGGTGCCTTTGTATGGAGCAGTGAAAAGGGATGAGCAGGCCCCAGTCTTTCAGGCTCTCCCTGGGAGGAGGATGCTGGCTGTGCCCTCTGAGAACTCAGTTGTCTTCCTGGGGCCTCCCCTCCCCAAGCCCAGAGTCCTCTTCTTCCAGGTAGGGAGATGTGCTGAAGGAACCGGTCTGGGAGATAAGTGTGATCATGGATCACGGACAGATTTTGGAATAGGGTCAATACTGCTCTACCCTTAAAAATTCACATAAGACAAACCTCACATTCAGGTCATCTAAATTGTCATTTACCTATTCAGACACATTGAAACAGGAGCTGAATGTAACAATCACAATGAATTCAGACAAGCCTGGATTCATCTGATGTTTATTTTAGTTCAGAACACTTGCCATGATTAGAGGGAAGCTCCCTGTCCCAGGGAGTGGGTCATTTTAAAAAAGCACCTGAGAGCTGCCCTCTGCAACCTTTTGGAGTTCAAGATTCTGTCTGAGATCTCAGGAGAAAGTAGTGGGACATACTGCCATCCTTCTCAATGTGTGACTCTGAAGATGTGGCCAGACCTCTAAACACTTCTGTGTGAATATATGTAGACTGGGGATGGCAGTGACAGCTTCAGACACAAACTTTATAACAGGTCAGCTCTGCAGGATAGTCTCCAAGATCTGTGCAACTGCCATTCCTGGGAACCAGAGATGGCCTCTGTGAGCTCTCCCTTCTGAGAGCACAGGGAACTCTGGTCCTTCCCTGACAGATCATACCTGTGAAACATGGCTGGACAATGACACTCAAGCCCAGAGTCCTTACACACATATTTATCAATTCAGATTCATCTGTTTCTGAAAGACTTTCTCCTCCATTGAATTGTATAAACCTACCCTGGGGTGTGTGGTATTGCAACTTGGGTATTTGACATTAGTTTGGTGAAATGTCAAAGTCAGTATATATTAATTTATCTTTCTTTTTTCTGTTACAGACAGATACTTGCTCCGTTAATAAATAACGTATCTCCATGGATGTAGGTAACAGGAGAGTCATCAGAAGTTGAGTGTGTCATAAACTTAGGACAAACCTGGGCTCTCTTCCTGGGACCTGAACAAGTGAACTGACCTTCTGTGAGATAACAGAGCGGAAGAGACAGACTCAACATCCAGAGCCAGGTGAGCTCCTTACCTACCAGGTGGTCTCTGGGCCTTTTGTTTGAACAGATCCAGAAAGACCTTCATCTCCTGGATCCTTTCACACCCTCAGGAGAATTATGAACATTGGGGGAAATTGAGATAAATTTTTATTTACAGAGAATAATTCATAGGCTTGTAGACATTTATGTGGGTATGTACAGGGATGCTAGGATATGCTCATACACAGAATAGAAAAAATTGTGGTTCGTGGAGAGAAAACCAAAGAGCTGCTGAATATGTAGGTACTGTTTACCACAAATGTGTCAGGTCACTAGATCATGTTATAATGCTAGAGGTAAAACTTCCCAATATTGCCATAGAGACAAAATGCAAAAGAGTAGTGAGATTCCTTTGAAAA